TCGATTATGGTAACGTGCCTATAACGTTGAGGTGAGCTACGCCGGGATTCGTTTCAGCAAGTAGATATCCATATATTTAAATGGACCTTGTTGGAGCATGCGTACTACAGATGGCGTTTACCGCGCCATTTGTGGTATTTTTTAAGATAAAAATACTTATTTTTTATTTTGTATTAGCAGTATTTTAAATGCAAATATTTAAAATAAATCACATCTCTAGCCAAGTAATATGGAGTAGCAATTAGGTATCTACTGTATGTTGTAACCAAGTATAAGTCGCATTTGCACTTGAAATGTTAATTTTCATTTCACGTCAGATTGATGGAAGGGAGGTATGGGTACCAACATGCAAAGGTCACAAAATGTTTATACATATCTCTGGGGAACGTTAGGTTTTCAAATTAATTTAAAATACAATATCTGTATATGCATAGGTGTATTGATGACCTCTGGAAAAAATCCAATAAACCTCGCGTCTATCCTTATCCTTGAGCAGTTACACACTTATTACGGTATTGTACGGTAGTTTATTAACGACCTACAAACAATTGACGAAAATTCTTTTTCAACATGCCTACGTACCTACCTCGCAGGCGTCTAAACTGATATTAAAATATAATGAACGTGTATTTTATTTCGCTAAGTAGTAAAATCGCAAAGGTATCAACTGAAAATAACAACGGCAATTATTAACACAATTTACATAAATTTCTTGGACTTATAAACATCCATACTATTTAATCAACAAAATAGGCATACATAGAAACATCAAATAGTAAAATGTAATTAAATACGTATGTACGTAATAGTAGAGAGTAGCGTGCCCCTCTCCGACTTTCATGAAATTTTAGTACAGTACGGTTTCCTTATTCGCGTTTTCATTATTCCTGGGTGAAAAAATTGTAACCCAGTTCCTGTATTCGCTGATGAAAATTTCATTATTCGCGGTTGCAATCGGTAAACAGAAAAGGATTCGGCGTCATTTATCAAGGGAATTGACCGCAATAGACCGCTGGTGCCTAGTGTGAATTTTTCCAAAAACATGGGTTTCTATTCTAAACATTGTGAACGCTGCGAGATAAATATATAATTTTTTGTATGGTAACAGACAAAGGTTCACACTAAC